ATTACAAAATCTAAAACCTAACCACTATTTCGTCAACCCAAACCAAAATTATAATTTCGTTTAATTACAAAAACTAAACCCTAACCACTATTTTGTCAACCCTAACCAAAATATAATTTTGTTTAATTACAAAATCTAAACCCTAACCACTATTTCATAAACACAAACAAAAATACATTTTTGTTTGGTTGTAAAATCTAAAGCCTAACCACTGTATTATAAACTCAAACCGATATATATTTTCATGAATTCGATAACACTGTTCATCAGTGATTAAAAGCATTCGATAACTTTTTTTAAAACATGTTAAATAATATGTTATCGCGGTAAGTTACATATTATCCGTTAAATTGAGTATTTATATAAACCGGTAATATAAATATTTTATACAAGTACGTAAATATATATGTATGATAAAACTGTATAAAACAAATAAATAACAAAATAATAAGAAATAAACTGAATGAAACACACATTGTATACTGATTTGGTTATCTGGTAACACGTATTAAATCAGCTAACCTCGGCGTCATCAGTTTCGTCAACCACATCATCTTTATCATGGCCCACAACACGTTTTTTTGTTCCAAAAAAATTCAGTGTAACAAGTGTGTAGGGTTAAAATCGTCAAAAAAATATCCACCTAATTAAAAAAAGATCAGTGACATTTAGTTAATAAAATGGTCAACTGATACTATGACTTACAATTTCCCTCTAATATATCCTAATTGTAAATAGCAAAAACAAATTATAATAACTGAGTGAAAACAGTCTTATTCGTTCATAAGGACATGAAATGAAATGAGTGAAAACATGAGATATGCTTGAAACAAATAAAGCATGGCAAATGAAACTAATTAATAATGTTTTTTTTTAATCTAATTAATAAACTAACTAATTAATAATGTATCTCTATCTTTTTCTTGCTTTTTACTTTTCCGGTTGCCTTGGTTGGTTGGTTGATTTATATAAACTTGGAACATAAGAAGAGAACTTAATTGAGTAAGAATGTTCAACATCCTCCAGCTCTTTCGATATTCACATATTTTTAAGTATGCATCAACTCCATCTCCAATGATGTGAGCTTTTAGGTCGTCACTGCGGAGTAGATCGAAAATTAAAGCACAGCAACTTTCTTCCCCTCGTCAATGAAGAAACAATGATTGGTAATGCCAAAGAGGACGAGTGAGTGGTGTGATATCCATTTTCAGAAACTTGCTCCACGACACCGTATTTGGATCAATCTTATTCGTAACCCAAAATCTCTCTATCGACTTAAATGGTTTGAAGCTATTATGTTTAAAAGCGAGCGAGCTGCTCTTCTGAACTCATAATCTCTGCAACATGAGGGTTACACGGTAAAAGTAGACGCGGACCGAACCTCTCTTTTGCAAAATTGTGGAGAAAAGATCACACATCGGATGATGTGAGGGGACTTCAATAATATATAAGGGATTAGGGTCAATCCACTCATTGCCAATTGGTTTTGAGTTGGAAGCCCATAACAAACCCTAATTTAACATGGTATCAGAGCCCGAACACACGCTGACCCATTAATTAATCCGGCCCGGAAAGAGGCCCGATCACCCCATTAATTGATGGCCCAAAAAAAGGCCAAATTCCATTGAGATAGCTAGAAGAGCATTATCTTGAGGGGGCGTGATGGATTCTGTCGAGATTAATGGCTAAAAGAACCATTATCTCGAGGGGGCGTGTGGAGAAAAGATCCCACATCGGATGATGTGAGGGGACTTCAATAATATATAAGGGATTAGGGTCAATCCACTCATTGCCAATTGGTTTTGAGTTGAAAGCCCATAACAAACCCTAATTTAACATGTGGAGAAAAGATCCCACATCGGATGATGTGAGGGGACTTCAATAATATATAAGGGATTAGGGTCAATCCACTCATTACCAATTGGTTTTGAGTTGGAAAACCATAACAAACCCTAATTTAACAAAAATCAAAACAGATCACATAACACCCTTCTTTGCAAAAGTCATTGTCTTTGACAAGCAAAAAAAAAAAAAGAAAACAAGTAAATACTAAACAGTGACTGTGGGATCACTTCATTAAAATCAGACAAAAAGCAAACCTTACAAATGCCAAAATCATCATCATGACATTGACAAATTCATGGGTCCTCCTCTCTATAGTTGACACCTTTAACTGAATTTTTACATGTAAAACTTATGGTATATGATTATTTTGCATACATTCCTAAAAATGCATGTAACAGGTATGATCGTTCCAGACGTGGTTATATGAACTGACATTACACCTCTCAAGATTCAAGAATCAAATATACATACTCTTTCATTCTTTTGCGATTCAATTTCTTCTTTTCTTATTTTTGCAAGTTTCTGAAGTACGTAAATACACAGCTTTTGTAAAGTTATAACAAAAACATCCATTTGTGATCATAGGCTAATTATAAAAACTTTAAGTCGTATATAGATATAACAGATCTTTTTGAACTCTTTATTTATAAACCTTACGTGACAAATGCTTATTTAGCATAGAAACCTTGAAAAATTATTGAAAAACTATGCATGTCACATCCGCCACGTCGAAAAACAAGAAGACATCTTCATTTATTTCAATCATTTTCGATACTTTATTGCATGTGAAGGTTATTCTTTACCGATATACCACACACACAAACCATACAAATAATATATAGCCAGGTAAACTAGGTACATATATATAAACTGGAGCATAATATAAAATTTTCAATTATCAATTGATGAAGAGCTGCAAACTAAATCAATAAAGGGATCATCGATTTAAAGGATGCTTTAATGTGTAATCAGCAATAGCATATTATAAAGTTATGTCCATGTCTAATAAAAAGATTTTCATAAATAATATTAATACATGCAATGCCACCAAGCAAAACGTGATGTGTCCCTATCCTTTGTTGGATCCCACTTGTGTGCCTGCATGAGATGAGATCCAATAATAAGAAGAAGAAAAAAACAATTTTACGAAATAGGCTTATTAGCAAAAGATGAGTCACCACCCTCTTAGATCGAATCCAATGCATATCCTCCTCTCTTTCCTTTATGCTTTTCATGTGCCACATTTCGTAGTCAGTACTCAGTAGTTTCTTCTTATATATTTCATTCTTTCTTCTCTTTTCATTTTTCATTTTTTATTCTCTTTCGATTACCTTATCATGAATGGTTGAATTAAAGAAAATTACCTAATCATAAATTTGTAAATGTATCATAAGTAAAAAATCTTGGCTTTTAAAATTAAAAAAAAGAAAAAAAAAAAAAAAAGAAGAAGAAACGAAAATGGGTTTGAAAATTAAAGTCGAGATACTTTTATTGCATAAAAAAAAAGTGAACTAAATTAACATTGCTGATTATAAATTTTAGTTCATGCAACTAAATGATAAATAATTCATACAAAGATACAACCATGAGGATCTTAATTAATTAGTAAATACAAGTGATTAAAATACCTCCTGACCTACCTACGTACGTACCAAATCTTCCCCGTGATATATATAATATAACCAAAAAAATTGTTTATGAGTTGACCGATAATCATGAGCTTGTTTCTTATAATCCAAGAAAAATAAAATAAAGAGGAAAACAGAAGCAATATGAAATAGACGAAACGTGAAAATATAATCAAATGTTTGTGTATAAACTTTCACCATTTTGATTCTCCTTTGGTAATATATATAAAACGAAAGATTCAATACAAGATAAAAGATTATGAAAGTAGAAAACTAACTATATATTTAATATATACACATATATTAATTAATTTTTGTTTCATAGATATATAGGTTCATAATAATATTACGAGCAAAAAAAACTAGACTAACCCTGCCAAGGCTTTGGGTGAAGCTGCTCAGAAGCAGAGGTATTGATGCAATTCCCAAGACCAGCAAAACTTAGGATCTCGTTATGTGACATTAACGGTCTTAACCCCAAGAAATCTCTCGTCAAACCTTCTCCTCCACCGCTTTTGCTCTTGTCTGATCTTGTGGCTGTAGCTTCGTTTGTTCTCAAGAACCCGCCAAACGCTTCGTCGAATGCTTCTTCTCCACCTTGATTATCAAACCCGGAAGCGTTGTAGTCTTGAAACATAACTTGACTGTTGTTGTTGTTGAATGCAGATGGTGACGTCATCATGGGCGCCATTGTCGTCGTGAGGTTTTTATTATGAGTTGACCTCTCGAAACCCGTGGTTGGTGGTAAAGGAGGTGTCTTTGTAGAACCCATTTGGGCTGCTTTCTGGAGCAATGCGGTGGCTGACATAGCCGGAGACGCAAGAGAGAACAAACCTCCTCCTCCACCGTTACTAGGGTTAGGGTTTGAAGATGTGAGATCGCGTGGATGAGGAGCAAGCCAAGGAGGGATACTATGGTGGTAACTGATGTTATGGTCATTGTTTTGTTGCTCTTTCTTCATGGAAAATGTATGGAGATGGTTGCTGCTACTGTTTCCATGGCTAGTACCATTGTTGGCATGTTCGAAGTGAAGGCTATTGATGATGTTGTGGGAGGATGAAGATGAAGAAGAGACGTTTACGTTTGGTTGAGTTTGATGTTGATGAGGATAAGAAGAAGATTGATGAATCAAAAGAGGGTTTTGTTGATTGTTCTGGTTCTGTGGCAGTACTACTTCTCTTGCGGTCTCTTCAGCCAATGCTTCACAAAATGCTCTATGAGTTATGAAACTATCCCTCCTGTTAAATTTACCACAAACAAACAAAAAAAAAACTCATGAAATGATCAATAATACGTTAATCAATAAGAATAAAGAAAAGTTTCATCTTTTTTTTTCACACACACTGAGAGAAACTTAAAAAGTCATGTGGTCCATCTAAAGCATGTAGCGATCACATATGAATTATAAGATGAATGATTAATGCAAGGAAAAAAAAAATCATAATAGTTTTATTTTTTTTGAAGGGGGAAAAAGAAATGAAGAAAAGTACCCTGAACTAGTTCAATAATATAAATGAAGATTCTTTTGAGCTACCAATTTTGTCCTCTTTCAAATTAATTGAAATTACTCATAGCACAACAGATAAAACTGTGTACCATGTGTCCCTCCAGTTCTTACAACACCACATCGTATATCTCTCATATTCATCATGATCATTAATATCGATTTGTAATTACTTGTAGTATATTCTTAAAATCAATTTAATAAACAGAAATCAACGAAAATAGAGTTAATTAAATATGTAACGTTGGAGAGGGGATTAATGTTTTACCTAGAAAAGAGAGTGCCACAGTCACATCTGTATTCTTTGGTGCCACAAGTCTTAGAATGAGCCTTGCAGTCAGATTGAACAGCATACTTCTTAGAGCATTTGTCACATTTCCACTTCTTCTCGCCATGTTTTCTGCAAAAATGCTTCTTGATACCGGTTAAGTCACCGAGAGCTCTAGATGGGTCATGGTGGACACAAGTTGCTTCTGGACAGACGTAGACTTTCTTCCTTATCACTTCTTTGTTGGATCTTTGTTTCAGCTTCCATGGTAGATTGTGACCTCTTCTGTGAAGCTGTAAATTCTGGTCTCTTTGGAAACCTTTGCTGCAGATCTCACACACGAATCTGTTTGTTGCCATTAGTGTTTTTGGTGATAAAGCTATTACTTCTGATTCCGGGTCTGAAAATTATTTTAAAAAAAATACTGGCCTAATTATATAATGTCAGAAAAACTCAGTAAACACTAATATAAAGTTACAGTTTTATTAAAATTTTCATCTTGGTTTTTGCTCAACAGTAAGCAAAACTATATCAACCAAGCCAAAAAAAAATAATTCAAAGATATATACACTAAAATAGGTGGTTTTTGGAATTATTTTGCTTAGTTAGAATAGAGATGATAAAGAGAACAAAAAGGGTAAAAAGAATATTCTTTTTGGGGAGAAAGACCCATAATTTCCAAGAAGATGACTGTATCAAATAATTGGATCGGTTCCAAAACCAAGAAAATAAAGAAAAGAAATTGTAATATTTTTAAATCATTACACGAACCTGGATTGCCTGGTTGGTTTCTCCTTTTCTTTTGAGGCTGTGAATCTGGAAGACAGAACTGTTCTTGTTGTTGTTGTTGCTGATGGTGAGGGAAGTAATTAGAGCCACTAGCTTCAGTTATGTTTCCCGAAGAGACACTTGCTTGATCACCAGAAGCTGATGTTAGATTCGACATATTCTCATCTTGTTGTGGTTGATGATGATGCTGATGAAGTAACATGTCTTTGTTCATCATCACCAAACGAAACAAACAAAATAAAAAACCTTAAAAAAAGAAAGAAAGAAGAAGAAGCAAATATAAGTTAGAAATCGACAAACTTTGTTCAGATCTATTATCTATATATACAGACATATATATACTGATAAAGATTAAAAAAAAAAAAAAAAGAGCGAGACAAAAGAGAAGATTAAACAGAAACATACAAGAAATGAGACTCTCTCTAACTCTCTATATATATATAATCTCCAAACTTTTTTGATTGTGTCTTGTGTGTATATATATATATATATATATTAACTTCCTTCTTTGGCTTCAACCCAAGATACAATATCTATCCACTTTTGCTGGTTCATGTTTGAAATCAACACGAAAACAAAATAAAAGGTAACAACAAATTACAACACAGAACTACCTAGAAGAAGTTTAAAGAAAACAAAAAAAAGAACAGAAGAAGAAGATGGGATGGCAAATCCAAAATACCTAGAAGTAGAGAGGGAGAGAGAAAGAGATTGTGGTGGACAAGAGAAACTCTATTATCTTCTTCTTCTCTCTCTCTCTCTCTGTATTTGAAACCGAGTACTGATGCAAAAATATAAAATTAAAATAGGAGAAAATTAAAGAAAGAATTGGTTAACCCTACCGCTAAGAAAAAAATGGCATTTTCTGCTCTTTTTTATTTATTTATTTTCGTAGAAATATCAATATGTCCTTTCTTTTATCATTACCTGCAAAAAAAAAAAAAAAATCCGTATTCTTTCGAAATTTAAATTATTGAAGATTTTTATATTTGTTCATTTTTATTACAAGAATGGTGGCTAAAAGATAAATATAACTTTCTCACAAGCTCTGTGGAAAGCTTGCAGAAAGAGCTCTTTGCAATTTTTTTAGTTTTCTTTTGTTACATCTCTCGAGAAGCAGTAGACATATACTATATTACAGCTTTGGAATTATAAATTTCACTATGTTCCATGATTCAGAAATTACTAGTTTACGTATCGCACCAAAAAAGTTTGTGACACAAAAATACTTATTTACGATCAACTAGAGTATTTGTCGACCAAAATGAACTTTAACTAATTCTTCTGAGTTGAAAGTTTTAACTATTTTTTTACAGCTTTATACTGTCATTTACAGAAATTAATAAGCTATGATTGAGTCATTGATTATATTTGAGGATTTGTGCTAAAAAGGTAACCTTTCTCTTTGCATCTTTTTTTTTTCTTCTTTACGATTTGATGCTTTTCATGTTAAAATAAAAATTGAGAGAGTTTGCTTCAAATGGATTGATGAAAAGAATTTAAAAGGATTAATAATCATGTGTCAGTGCCGCATGCCCTAACCTACTTTACGACCCAAATATACAAAAATTTCTAGAAGATTATACAATTTAATGGAAAATGGATATTAAATATTACCCAAAATTATTCATACGTATAAATGTATGATTCAAAAGTTGAAAGATTATTATACCAGAAAAGGAATGATAGAGAGAAGTGGAAAATTTTCAACGTTCCTAAGGGCCGCCGTGCCAATAAAAGCCATGCAATATATACAAATAATAGATTTTTTTTTGAAAAAGTATATACAAATAATAGATAATAATACATTGTATTATCACTACCGTTTCATCGTTATTAACTATTTAGTATTATATGAAAATTTTAATACTCAAAACATATTATTTGTTAAACTTTTAACAAAAAAAAAATGATGAAGACAAAAAAACATATTAGTATAGGTATGATTTATTAGCATATACTTGACTTCTTTGTCACACACATGACTCCGTGCTTCTTTACCGGAAAATAAATTAACTTGCCTTTAAAAAATATTGCATTTCCAGACAAATATGTAATCCACGCTACCATGTAAATTTACAGGACTTGAAATGTGAACTGTTGTAAAAATATGTGTTTATGGTATGATCCATTTTCATGTTTTCCACCATTTTAGTATTTTTACTTTTAACATAAATGTGGAAAGCAAAAGATATAAATATAAATAGAAAAATTTCATAGATGTCCACTCGAGTGTCGGAGTCATATACTAACTCGCATATATACCTAGTCATATTCAATTTGGTGACTCCCATGCATCTAGAATATTACATTAGTCTGAAGTATGAACTATAAACTTACTAATAACAAATATTAGTAGTCTGAAAATAATATGCACTTGTTCGACATTACCATGATATGTAGTATGATACATTACAAATTTACAACATATTGCTAGAAATTTTACTACACGTTTGCCGCCGTCATATAATTAATTGCGTTTTGCATTTAAGTAGAAACTGCCAAAACCATTAATTACCCTTTAGTTATTTTCCTTAACAAGCATGCACCAAAAGTTTTAGGGTAAGTCTTACACACTTAATTAACTAAAAAGCGGTGTAATCTGAAAATGAATTACTAATAGAAAATGTTTCGTGTTTTTGTCTTGTTCTTGTTTTATTCCACAATTATTTTAAAGCCTTTTTCCTTAATAGTGATTTGTCCGATCCTCTTCCCAATATGAAACACCAGCTCACCCCACACATTAAACTAACTTTATAATAGGAAACCCATTAATCTAATTATATACAGTAATGTTTTTAAATTTGAATATAAACAACCTAATTGGGGACTAATAGGCCTCGTAAACCACACAATCTCGAGGTCATGTGGTTTAAATTAAATCTTCACAATCACACATACGGAGAATCCACTAAATGATGATGTTGAAAACTGAGTCTCTCGTATATATAGATCTGAAAAAATAAACACATCGTCCATTCTCAGTAAACTATGAGCAAAACAGTAAGGCTGACATGAAAATAAAATATCAATTTAGATGAAACTACTAGCTTGGGAGGTGGGAGAAGGCAATGTATTATATAGTAGTATAGTATTTAATTTATTCAACAGTCCTGAAATTATGGGTCTATAAAAAAGATTATACGTCTCTGTCTCCATGTCAGCTATGCATGGCATAGATTAATAAACATATATATCATATTCTGACACAACATAATTAAGTATATAACTTTTTTTCTCTAGATCATTAGAAATCTTGCATGTGTTAACAAAGTTTTTTTGTGATTTTCTAATGACTAATTGTGATACATGAGGACTAGATCTGATACAACGTATAAGAACAAGGTAGCCCTGGGCAAAATATTCGTTAGATTCGCTTTGTTTCGATATTCGTTTCGATTCGATTCGAAAAATTCAAATATCTATAAGATATTGAACCGAAGCAAATATGAAAATCTAGTATTCGTAAAAACCGAAGCAAATAACAAATATTGATTTTTTTGTGCCGAATATCCGCTTCGCTTCGTATATTTATATATATATAAAAATATAAATTATTATATAATACATATAATATATATAATATGTGTATTTATAGATTTGGGTATATATATGATAGGTCTATTATTTAAATTATTATATTTTGGCTTGTTGGATTTTTTTTTGTTGCTAAATGTTGTTTTAAGCAAATAAAACTTTACTACAAAAATCATTATTAAAAATAAAATGTGAGAATTTTATGGACGGTGGTTATATTTCCTTCTTATTTTGAAAACATGTCAAATATAAACCTCTAATATTTCATATTTTGCACTTTATATTTATGTACTATATGTTTTTTTATTTCAAAAAAAATTAGATGGTTCGAAGCAAAGCGAAACAAGTAATTCGCAAATATTACGAAAAATCCGAATATTCGAAGTACCGAATACTCGAAAATTTACGAATCGAAGCAAATAGCAAAATCAACTATTCAGTCGAGGCGAAGCAAATAACAAATATCACAAATTTTCCGAATATTCGCTTCGTGCCCAGGGCTAGAACAAGGGTCTTGGTATAACATAACTGAATCGTTCTTTTTCTTGTAATAATTTAAGAGTATGAATGGTTTGTGAGTTACAGTGCAGTAGAGAGTCAATAAGTCACAGCTGCTGAGAGAGTTCACGAGCGGAGCAGCACATATCAGGAAAAAAAAACAGTAGGGACAACTTTTGTTATTATGAAAATGATTGAGCTAACATAAAGGACCCCATCTCTATTTCTCCTGTTCAACAATTCAATTCAATACATTACTTAAATGATTAAGTTAACACCCCCAAAATTAAAGTGTTAATTTAATTTCTCTTTCTTTTTTAACAGTCGCACCTAATAGTTGATTTTTTTTTTCTTTCTCGTCGACGTCGTTTTTAAGGTTCTAGTTTTTTTCGTAAGACGTTAAAATAGTTCTACAGCCAAACTCTCTAATAGTGTAGTTTAGTTATATACAGTAAGTTTTTTTACAAATTTTGAAATTTCAAAAAAAAATGCTTAAGAACTCTCTCATTTATTGTTTATAATAAGAAAGAAAAGGATAATGTAAATTTTAAGAGGGAATCCTCCTCTCATATGTCTGTCACCTTCGGTAATAGACACGCGTGAGAGCGACCGGTCGAGGGGGACCGTACCGGACCGACAGGGACACGTGCCATGGGATAACTGGACTGTAACTTGAACAGAGCCATGCAATCTGGTCGCCGACTGGGCAGACGGCCCTTATGAACACATCCGTTCCCGTGTTTTCCGTTTCTGGTCTTCCTCTTGCCACTGTCCCTATTATCAAAACGTCACCGTTTCTCTCTCTCGTGGTCCAGCTGTTTTAATCAAACCGGTTTAAGAAAACCGAAACTTGTATATAACCAAACTGCTTACAATAAAAAGTCTGTTGAGTGACTTTGTGAACACATTACACAAAGACAATAACAACAAGAGAAAAAAAAATTGGATATTTGTATAAGGTATGATTAATTATGAACCGTTTATACCGGGGGAAAAATATGAATAAACCGAGTCAAATTGAGATTGGTACACGAAGACCATCGTAGCTCAATTGGACATCGATGCCTTCTGTGACCATTAGTTTCTCCAGTTCTTCGCTCACCTTCTCGTGGTCCATCAAGTGCATCATTCCTTCAGAAAGAAAAAAAAATAGAACAATATTACTCAAAGTTTGACCAAGAAAAGGATGTCTATCACAATCTTAGATAGATACTATTCATTGACCAACAAAAAAAAAGAAGATATATACTATTCAAGATGTGATTTAGCAGATTGTACCGGTGAAAAGGGTTCTTTTTGGTTTGATTTTCCGAACTTCCTCTAACGCCTGAAGGATGGAAACAAATGTGAATTTGATGATTGAAAATAGATTGCCAAGATAAAGAATCAAATATAAATGAGGAGAATGGAAGCAAGCTCTATACCCTTGGGAGGCCAAAGTGTGTTGCTGAAGACCGGTCAGGCCTCAAAGCATCCTACAGAGAGGAAGATATGTGTCTTGGGTAGTCAGCTATCTTTGTCGAAGGAAGAAAAATAGACGTGATGGGTGAGAGAGTTGAGATTACCATAATTAGGAGATCACAGTCTTTAAGGAGCGGGTAGGTTTCTTCCGGTATGTCATTGACATCGCTGCATATATTACAATATGATAACTAAAGACTCTGATATTCGTGAACAAAAATGGTAGAGGGAAGTGTGTGTGTTTGTTTACCTTATGTAGCAGACATTACCAAACCGGAAACCAAGGGAACGGTAGTTACTTCCATGCCACACAGGTAATGGGGTGATCTGAAACAGTTAAAATATCCAATTCATTGCCTTATCATCTGATCATAGTAGCCTTGATGATTATAAGCCAGAAATAATGGTGTTACCTTTAGATCATTTACCACAAATGGTTGGTCCTCTTGTATGATTTTAAACTCCAACTCTGAGACTGCAGCACCGGGTATGATCACACTTGTATCAACCAAGTAATAATGGGTCTTCTTCATCACCTGAGATTCACATGTCAAAGTGGAGAGCCTTATTTAGCAACTGAACTATTATCGTGAGAGACGAGGGAAACATTTTGGAGTGTAGGTAAAACAGGTAAACCTCAAGATCACGCATAGCAGTGTAAATCGGTATGTGAGGTTGGACATTGTTTGTCCAATCACGGAGATCATCAAGACCTGGATAGCACAAAACAAAACAATGGAGAAGAAGACTTTCAATTAAGGAGACAACACATGTGTCTACAGGAGAAAAAAACATGGAAAGCAAATGATGGTAGCAAGATTTAACTTTTCAGTTTCAGAGACCTCCAATTGCGTCAGCATGAGAATGAGTAATTATAACCGCATCAAGTGTTCTTAGCCTGACAAGAAAAGCACAACTAGGTATCATAGGGATGGCCATAGAATCAACGATAAAACAATCACAGTGTGACAGAATTATTATAAGGGACTAATGATAAACAGAGAGTTCAACTGAGCATACTTGTTCACAGTATAAAAAATAAAAAGAAGTAGTGTAAGAAGCATCATAATCTAATAGGGGGATCCAAGAAGTTTAATGACATTTCATTTTTTGACAATTGGATCCTTAATGGTGGATGGGAAGAAAACTAACCCGAAGGAGGGAAACCATTTAAGCGCACTATGGTAGAAGAACCTGCCAAAACAAGGGAGTTAAGAAGTCAGCATACAATAATGTAAATGAATGTCGGATGCTCTATGATCAATCATACCAAAATTCTTATATGGTGATAAATAGAAAAATCACATTCACATTAATCATCTCAGTGCACTTACTTGCCACAATCAATGAGGATGTTACTTGTCCCGGATGGTCTAATGTACCGAACAAGAATGCTGGTGTTAAGTCTCCTATTCTTGTTTCCTGGTTCTGTTGCTTTTGAGCAGACCTAGAAAGAACCAAACGGGATTCTTTTTTTCAGTGGGATGATTGCATTGAAATCGTTGATGAATCATTAAAAGAAGAGAAGAGATAAAAGCGAAAACAATACCAAACATGTTTTCAAAGGATTAGTGAGGCAGCTGACACGAGGAATCCCTTCACTGGTTCCGGTACCCAAAAATACAATCTCAGAATGTTCATTGGATGGTGACACCAAAGCATCAGCATTTGCAGAATCTAATAAAGCACAAGAAAGATAGTAAGTGTTGTGTTACAACAAAAATCTAATACAAAAATGAATGCTACAAAGAAGCCATTGATTGACACTTATAAACAAAAAATATCAGAATGTTCAATGGATGATGGCAGCAATCGAACACGACAGACGTAGTCAAACAATGTATGTACAGGATTGAGTAATTGATTATAGTCAAACAATCATAGAGAGTAAAGTCAAATCTAGTGGAAATCAATCACATCAAAGGACTCAGATGTTGTAGTTGCAAAATTATTGAAATTGAGTTTAAAAAAAAAGAGAATAGATAGATACCCACTGGATTGGAGGCAAGCCTGAAGAATCTTGTTGAGTGGAGACCTCGTCGTATTTCTAGAGATGAGACTTTGGCAGCGGAGAAAAGATGTCTGGTACCGGAGAGAATCGAAACAGGACAAGGAGCGATGCGAAGGGCGAAGTGTGCCTAAACCCAGAGATAGAACCGCTGACATAGCAGCCATTACCAAATCCTGAATCCGGTGGATCAAGTGCAACGTTTTCGCTATGGGTTTGGCTGGCTCGAACCCTCTCCGACCGAAAGTGATTTCTGATACACACGTTGTCGTTTTAACTGAGTATAATAAATAAAAAAATCATGCTCTTTATTTCCACACAGATTTGGGCTTTTAGTTGGGTTTCTCTTTAACTGAGCTTCGCACTGGGTCGAAGAAGTCCAGTGACTTTTGTTTTCAGAATTTGTAGGGATGGTGATGATGATGTGTCGTCGTCTCCAATTATTATTGGCTGGAATACAGAGAGAGGTATAAACAAATTTGATTACGTACATAAAGAGGGGAGATTCGTCTCTCTCTCTCTCTCTATCCTTAATTTGAGTTCTATCGTAGTCCGTGTGAGAGAATGACGACAATATCAGATCTTCCATGTGATTTGGTAGGGGAGATACTCTCAAGAGTTCCATTGACATCTCTGGGAGCAACACGATCTACTTGCAAAAAGTGGGAAGATTTATCTAAAAAACAGATTTTTGGTAAAAAAGCAGGAGCAGCAGCCGGAGCAAGGAAGCAGTTTATGGGGTTCATGATGAAGGATTCAAGGGTTTGTTCCTTGAAATTTGATCTCCAAGGAATCCGCAACCACGGGGACTTGGTTGTTCCATCTATAAACCAAGTAAGTCTACTTAAGCAAGTCGAGGTATCTAGAGTCTTTCACTGTGACGGTTTGTTATTATGCGTACTCAAGGACAGCTCGAGGCTCTTGGTATGGAATCCTTATTTGGGTCAAACCAGGTGGATCCAACCCAGAATCAATTATCATGAATTAGACAGGTATGCTATCGGATATGACAAGGACCGTCACCACAAAATCTTTATTTCAGAAGATCTTTCTATGGAATCAGGAACGTTTATTCTAAACTTTGGGAACTTTGGAAATCACGGTCTCGACAGAGGAGAAGAAACAGAGGAAATAGAAGAAAATAGAGAGATCAATGAAAACAGAGAGCTTGGTGACCCACGAGATAATGAAACAGAACAAGAGAGTGTAAATGAGTCTGAGCAAGATTATGAGGAAGAGCAAGTACAGCCACAAACGGCAGCACCGGAGTTAAGAAGATCACAAAGACAAGTCAAATTGCCCGGGTATCTCAGTGACTTTGTGCTTCTAGCAGAAATAGAAGGAGAACATCTCTTGTTGTCAATGAATGAAGAACCATGGGACTTTAATGAAGCTAATCAACTAAAAGTATGGAAAGATGCTTGCGAAGAGGAGATTGTGTCTATCACAAAGAATAAAACGTGGAGCTTAGTAGATCTTCCCATTGGAGCTAAATCGATTGGTTTGAAGTGGGTCTTTAAGATAAAACGAAATTCCGACAATAGCATTAATAAATACAAGGCAAGGCTCGTGGCAAAGGGATATGTTCAAAGACATGGAATAGATTTTGATGAGGTTTTTGCCCCAGTAGCCAGAATTGAAACAATTCGGTTTATCATTGCATTAGCGGCATCGAAAGGATGGGAAGTACATCACTTGGACGTAAAGACTGCTTTTCTTCATGGAGAAATAAAAGAGGATGTCTATGTTAAGCAACCAGAGGGATTTGTGATCAAAGACAAAGAGGAGAAGGTTTATAAGTTACATAAGGCGCTTTACGGACTTAAGCAAGCACCCCGAGCGTGGAACATTAAGCTTAATGGGATTCTTGGAGAATTAAGTTTTAAAAGGTGTTCTAAGGAACCGTCATTGTACAAGAAGCAAGAGAAGGAGCATCTTCTTATTGTGGCTGTCTATGTGGATGATCTACTTGTTACTGGTTCAAGTATGGAAATGATACTCGATTTTAAGAAAGGAA